AACAGAGGCCCACTTCCTCCATACACAGAAATCTGCCACAATTACCTCTTTGCTACGAAACCTTTATGCTTTGGCATAAAATGGATTCTGGCAGTCCTCAGTATTATCTCTATTTACAAAAGCTGCTAAAAAGGCCTGTCGTATTTAATCATTTTCCAACACAATTTGAAAATATAATCTAGTATATGCCCTGGACTACCTTTCCACTATGCATTGTAGGAAGATGGGTAATGGCATACAAGCAACCTTTGTGGCAGATTATATGCCACTGTTAATCTTCTCATCATACATTTCTAAGAATTTTCTGTAGAACAATATGGTCCTTGATGCCTTAGTCTATTATTGTCTGTCAAGATCTGGTAGTGAAAGTAAGAACCAGGAATTTATGGTAATACGAAATTTGAACAATGTCCAAAGCAGAATGTTACACAACAAATTTAAGGAAACAAATTCAAAATAAACAGGTTTTTTTAAGTGATAGTAAGGAATGTTTCTAGGCAATTAACAACTCAAGGACATATTCTGCATTCTACTCAAACAATAATATAATGTCCAGGGTGGTGCAGTGGAGGAAGTAGCAATTAGAAGAGCAAACACTGGAATGCCTAAAAAGCACTACAGTGGTACCTCAGTTCACGAATGCTTCTGTTCGTGAACAAATCGGTTTGCAAACAAAAAGTTTGGCAAAGTTTGCTTCTGTTCCGAACTCCACATCGGGTGACAACCATGATCAGGGCCATCTTCCGCTTGCTCGGGCTGCTAGAGAAGCCCAAGATGACACTGCGCCACCCGCCAAAACGGAGAGCACGACATGAGGGAGAGCCCTGAGGGCGCACTCGCCTTGGTCAAGACCTTCCCAGCTCCTCACCATCGCCCCACTTCAGAGCCATTGGAAGGCCCCCTTGCAGGCGCTCGCCTAGGTTTGGGAGGAGAAGCAGGAGGCTTCCCCTGCTGAGAGAGGGCTGCAAGGAGGGATGCTTTCTGTGGGCTGAGGCGAGGAGATGTGAGGGATGGGGTTGCAGCCAGCCAAGCGGGGTGCCTCCCACCTCTCTCCATCGCAGGGGGAAGACGTTGGTGGCTTGCCCTGAGAAGGCCACGGTGGAGGCACAGGAGCCATGGCCCCACTCCGCCTCAGCCCGTTTGTCCCCATGCTCAATGAGGTGGCTGCGGCTTGGCCCCCAGCCCAGGATGTGGCTCATATTTTTGTGGTTTATAAAAAAAAATACATACATATTTATTTAAAACTTTTATATGCCGTCCTTTATGAGTAACAGAAAGTTATGGTTTAGAATGGATTAACCTTATTTACATTGAACTTACATGGGGAAATTTGACTTGGTTCGCGACCAATTTGGTTCATGACCAGAATCATGGAATGAATTAAGTTTGTGAACTGAGGTACCACTGTATTTTAATGCAGATCTTTTCTTTAGGCTGACTGTTTACAAAATGTAAAGGGTAACATTTATGTTACTGTTGCTTCAGTATGGAAATATTCAGCAATTCAAGGTAATTAGGAACCAACAATGAGTGATTACCATAGAAAAGTGAATGGTTAGATTTATTAATCCTAATAATAACTTTGACTTCATAACCATCAGTTTATTAAGTAACATGGTTGATAAAATGCATTTCATAATATCCTAGTCAGTGAATTAAAATATACTGCTCATGTTGCTTTTCAATGAATATAATCTTTCAAAGCTGTATTTATAATGCTTTCATAAATGCAAACTTTCCACAAACTTTCTGTAATGAATTGTTTTATTGGAAATTCTACCAAACTGTTATTTTGTGGAAATACTATTTATAAGGAGAATCACCAACTATACATGCAGTTTAAATTTATGGTCATTATTACAATTTATATAGGCTATGTTATGGTTCCTTTTAACAGGAAAGAAAAGCACTCAAGTATAAATGTCAATACCTCTCATAACTGAAGAGAATAAATCTCTACAAAGCTCACTCCTGTGAAGCAAAGAATGTACCTGTGACAATATTTATTCCTAAGGGGTCAAAGTATATTAAAAGGAATGGTGAATGTTTAAAACACCTCTCTGGAACTAAAACCATTGGCTTTCTAATTTAGAATTTCTCTCAGCTAATATAAAATGATTGATTGCCTTTATTTCATGTACCCCTTGATTTTTCTTTTCATTCATCATGGTCTACTTTAAACCAAATGCATTTAGGACCTGCCACAAGAAGAGTGGTCTCTTTTAAATTGTTGTAAAGTAATGAAAGGACATAATAAATCAATCTTATTTCTGTCTTACCAAAGCATAACCTTTACTCTATCCAAGTAATTTAGACAATTTCTGCATGTGTTCTTTTTCCCTAGACAATAACATTGTCTAGGGTTGTCATATCCAAGACGTTTTTAGGTACCAGATCAGTATACCTAGACACTGTTGGAAATCCTGGGTTGGATCCAGGACTTGCCTTCTGCAAGAGCAAACAGCATAGGGAAAGGCAGGTAAGTCTACCTCCTCTAATACAGCTTATTCAGTTTAAATCTGAAGCTAAACCCCTGCATTTCAATCCAACATTATGTGAGTGAATTTCCACTTATGCAAGTGGAATTATTTCCTCCCTTGCTTCTGCCCCCTGCATACCCCCAAATTTACTCCTAAGGGATGTCAGACTCTCTGGAGCAATTGAAGCCTAATTCAATATTTAGTGAAACTTGTGATTACTTTCCTCTATCAGACCAGGTCCCCTTACTCATGTGTACTTTTTCTAGCCAAGGCCAGCCTGGAGGCTCACAAGGCAGGCATGACAAGCTAGATACTCTGTCTTTGAATATGGAGGATCCTTTCACTATGATTGCTAACTGCCTGGTATTCTCCATATATTTATGCCATCTTTTTTTGGGGGGGGGGGAGGCATAAAACTATTGGCCATTAATAAAAGCTGGGGTGAGAAGATTTAAATAAAAGCATACATAGGATTGATTCTAGCATTTTTTTAAAGTAGAAAATTCATTTTCACTGTGCACTTTAGCACTTTTCCCCTCTTCACCATGATGCCAACTATAGTCACATTTTAATAACTATTTAAAAGGACATCTTCAAATTGACCTGTATATATAGAGACTACTTGTGTAAAAGAAAAAAATTACCTGAATCATCTATTTGCATGGGAGAATGGGTGCAAATCCCTGTCCCCCATATACATCTAAAGTGACTTGTGATGACAACTTTTTAGACAAAATTGTTTTGTACAATCAGTCCACCTTAAAAATGAGGTACGATTATGAAACTCGAACTACTGTTAATAATGGCATTTCACACATTATGTCCACATCACAACTTCTTTTGGGTGCATAGTAGAGAGAACACTATCTAAAATGGATAACTGCCTAGATACAGTTTTTAGAATAGCCCCTTTCATCCAGTCTCTTAGTGGTAAATGTTAATATAACAAAAAATCTATTAACCATCCCATGCTGCCTCCAGTTCTATGAAACTCTTAAGTTCTGCATCTTCTCTTTGTCTGTCCCCCACATCCATATTTATAGCATTTTCTTATTGGATTGATAATATGTCATAAAGAAAAAAAACAGCAGAAAGCAAGCAAGCACTGGTTCTATAACATTAGCACTGCCAATGTATGACAAATTAATTTTATTGGTATTTAATTTTATTGTTAAATGGTTGCCATTATCATTAAAAAATGTGAAGAGCTTTCTTAAAAGAATGAATTACGGATCAAGTAGAATTTTTTTAAATGCAATTCCATAATCACAAGACTTTGGAAATATCATGTAAGATATCCTTTGCTGTTTTTAAAGAATATATATTTTAAAGGAGAAAATATAAATCGTATTATATTTAAGATATAGTGATCAGATGCAGCATATCTATCAAATTATATTAACAATATTTGAAAATTTACCAAAAACTGTTGATTTCAAGTAACTAATTTGGCATGTTTCTATCTCTTTGCAATGTTTTCCATAAAGTCTCACTGATGAAAATAACAGAAAAGCAATTACCAACCTTTATACTACAGCAACTACTTTGAATGAACTATAGTTTATGGTTTCATATGATCTATGAATGCGCAGCCACTTTGACCTTGGAGAATAGAGGGAGGCTTCAAGGTGCACTACACTCTAGCCATATCACCACACAAAGAGAATAAGCAACAAAGGTTCCTGTAAATCTATGCCCATGGTACGGTAGGTTGCAAAAATAATCCTATGCATAATCATGAAGCCTATTTTAATTAAAAAAAGAAAATACCCCCCTTTAGTGTCCTTCTATGTACTATGGGATTTTGGCTTGTCTATACTGCTGACTGTGGTTAATTGTTTATCCAGCCATTATTACTCTCACATGCATATTTTTAGTTTCAAAAAACAGTGTATTTTCTTTAAATTTGCAGCATCAATGAGATGTCAAAACTCAAATGCTACTTGACTGCTATTGACGTAGGAAAATGGATCCAAACAGGTCTCTGTATCACAGGAAAATCTCAAAATGTATTAATCATGCAGTCCTACATATTAGCTACTCAAAAGTAAGTCTGAATTAAATGGAGTGTACTTCCAGGTTAAGAGGATTTGGAACTGCATTGTTAGCCTACAAATCTAAGAATGAGGTTGTCCTGCAACAGAATTGGATTATGTGATTCTTCTCTCAGAACTAAAGCACAAATGTATTTTTTCCAAACATTAAACAAAGCTAAAAACAGAGTATCAATGTCTGTATTTTTATTTCTTAATTCTAACTAGCAGTATACCTTTATAGTGACAACCAACTCTAAGTTCTAATTTCTAGGCTTCTTAGAAATATTGCAACTGATTTACTCAGGAAAACTTTTTACATGACATAACCCTAAGAAACATATTTGAGGTACATATAGGTTTCATAAAACTACTGAATTCACTGGGATCCTGTTCTAATCTCAGATGTCAATTGAAGCATGTTGTAAGGAATTGATTGCAAATATTTGTCTTTTTTATTGTTAATACCTATGTGAAACTTGCCCACCTGTTGCTGGTGTAGGAAGGAAGGGTCTCTTGGACTTAGTCCCACATATCGATTGGCTTGGGATGTGCCTGAGGCTGTGTAGGCTGATTAAGGAAGAACAAAAAGATTGATAAAGATAGAAACCTATCAATTTCTATTGTGTATATTTCACACATAAGAGATTCAGAGTTATGAAGAATGAATTTGGTTATGGAATATGGTTCTACAATACCTATCGACTTCAATGGAATCTGCATGAAGGTAGGATTACCTTCCTAGCAGTGACAAATTCTCTAGATGATACAAGATATGTGCCAGCTTAGTTTAAAAGAACTTCAACCAGGTTCTCATCTCTCTTACAGCATTGTAAATTAAAGTACAGTCAATGGAGTCATATGAACAAGAGAAAACTAATAAATTTTTGTTCACAAGTTGTGCCTAAGTTTTTCGAAATGAGGCATGAAGATTTTTTTTAGAAAGAGGAATATATTCTTTTTATAGCTGCTAATAGGAAAAACATATAATTTTTATAGGTGAAGTATTAAACATGTTGGTATTCTGTACATTAGAAAATGGTGGGGCAAATGCGCTGTATGATTTAGGTATTTGACCTATAATGTATAAACCCCCTAACACATATTCTCCCTGTAAAACCACAGGTGTTTAATGACAGATACAACCTTTCAACTGTAGGTTACCTTTCGAATTGAGAATGGGTCAGTACTGCCTGAAAGTCATAAATTTCCAATTGCTCATGGTAGCCTACATCAAATTATATTGGTGGTGTTACTCTACTTACTAGTTTGGAAATATTCACTTTAGAGAAGACATTTTCATAGCAACACCATTGTAATTGCCACAGTCAAGCCCTTAAATGATGAATGCATAAGCGTACACCAAAATTGCTAATATGATGTTTGGAATATATACATCATGTGTTTCTCTGAAAGAACCAGAGTGACATCCTTCGAAAAATGAAGTTGCAATGTTTAGTATTCCTGTGATTCCTTCAACATTATTTAAAATATTATTTGGCTAATGCCCGACTAGCACCATATAGCTTGAAAGGGAGATAGATAATATTGAAACACTAATATTCAAAGTCAAATCTGAAACCATATTCCTATTTGGACTGATACTTGTGGTAATTCAAAACATCTTTATTGCTAGTCAAAAGGACGTGCTTGAGAATTAGAAAGGCAGTAGAAAAGTGATCAACTATGGTATGATTCACTGGATAATAATGAGATAATCAAGACAGAGTTAGGATGGGCTGGAGGTGCCCATCCTCCAGCAGCAGAGGCATCTTTGCTCTTGGAGGCCCTGCTGTGCCTGTGGAATCTCCATGGGCATAAACCTACCACAATCAGTAGTCCTAGGACTGCAGCATTCTTGGGGGATGGGGATCTGCTTTAGGATGGTTTTTTGGATTCAAAGCCCCAAATCTGCTGTTTAAGTATTTTTCATTGAAAGCAACGGGAGAAGACTGTCAGAGTGGGGGCGGGGAGTTAACTCCATCCCCACCTCCCTGGCACAAACTGGCAGAACTTTGTCAGTAGCTACATCCCCCAGTCCCACACAAGACTGCCCTCTGAGACAACTTCTGCTCTTTCTCACTGTAGCTTCTCTGCATCATTTAACAAAGATGGGTACATTCCAGATTGGTCTAAACTGAGCAAATTTTTCTTCCTGTCTTAACATAGCATCCAGACATTTAAGAGCATGGCTACATATGGGATGCTAACTTTAAGAAATGTTCAGTTGTAACACAGTGTCCAGGTACTCCTAAATCATTTGGCAGAACTGATTAAAATATTGCTTTTCAATTGGAATTATATTCAATAAATTACTAAACATGCATCTTTACATGCTGCAGTGTATTTTTCTTATAGTTGTAATATTTAATCACATACTAATACAGAATTTAACCTTAAGACTGCCTGATATGTTACAAAGTTCATGATATCTGACAAAATTTACTTCCACTGGTGGGGACTCTATGTGAAAATGGTAATGTCATAAAGTAACAGATCATTTATATGTTCAGAGCTCACATGCCGGGAGAACACTTTCCTTATGGGCACAGATGTTGGAAACGTTTCATTCGACAGGGTCAGCCTAGGCAGTAATCCATTTCATGACAGCAAATAGACGTGCATCAAAGCATGCAGACACACTTCTCAACAGACTCCATAAGCAATACTGGGTGCTGTAACCTATGGAAATTGCTCTGCAAATTGATGCACCTACACTTCTTGTCTGCAATTCCATTGAAGACTATAGGGTAATAATATGGTGAATGAGTGAGAGCTAAACCATTCAGTTTTAAATCTCCTTAAATACAATTAATACACATAGATTTTTAAGTAACATCTTTGATGAGTTATAATTCTTAAGAGTTAATTTAGAATCACAAGTCTGATTCAATCAATTTTGGATGGTATGCTTTCTGCATGAAAGCTCACTCATAGAGGAATCAGTTCTCTTTCCCACTTTTTATGGATTCCAAGTGTCAGCAGTTTTAAAGTTTCCAATCTGAGTATGCTTCTCATTCTCATTAGAATGTCCATCTTAAAGGAAGAATCAAGCACTCATTCTCTCTTGGCATTTGATGCTCATATTAATTTGCTTTTCTCTTTTAAGGTTAAGGTTGCCATGTCTCAATTGACACATAGTATCTAGATTTATAGCTGCGGAGCAAAAGTTTTGCCAATGTATTTCATTATCAACATTGAGCATCTGCCCGGCCAAACGGCAGGAAAAGGCACCTTTATTGGCCTTTATTTGCAATTTTTCTGATTCTTTGATGGACATTTTGTTTCCTAAATAAATACTTACTGGTTGCTGTAGGTGAAGATGCCTCACCTTCAGTGGATGTAGTGATGGGTTTAGTATCTGTCATGGTCAGGGTCACAGGTCGCACCGCACTGTGATGGGGAGAGGGTGCCAAAACTGGAGTAAAATGGCCAGGCATTTTCCCTACTACTTGACCACTGCTGTTAGGCTACAAAACAAAACCAGAAGAATGCCTTGTAAAATATACATATAGTGCTCAAGAGAGCTACCTATCTTAGGGTTTCCAGAACCCCATTGCTGCAGGGTGCCACTCTGCGTAAATCACTCTGCATAAAAAGCAGATTTTGTAACCAAAGTATTAACATAGATGTGCTTAGTGGTATCTGGTATTTCCCCCCCACGTGTCTACTACATAATAGTGAGGGTCAGAAATCTGTTTGACCCAAGTGTTGTCTGCTACTATTTCTAGACAATACAACTACTGCAGTAGTAATAAAATACTACTGCTTACACTAGAGTTATTTTCTGGGGTAATTCCAATGGATTGAAAGGAACAGGATCAAAATAGATCCCTCAAAATTGATCTAGAACATTCATCCAAATGCCTCTACCACTGTGAATTCAAAATTACGCAATACAGAATCTTTTTAATGAATCCACACATACTTTTTTATTAGGATCACAGTAAGGAATCTTCTGAAAATATTAGAGATTGTCTGCTCTTACTTCTGGAACAGCAATAGTCAAATACTAGGTTAAACACACAGCAATTCACTATTAAGGATGAGGCGCTTTATGCATCTGCTAAAATTGATTTGATTACCAGGCATGTGAGAAATGTTGGCGTATGGATGAATCAACCTGTTGATTTTAAACCTACTCTTGTTACTTTTATGCCTAGAAATCTAGATGCACAAATACATCTGCACTCGGGAAAAAATTAATGAAGGTCTTGTAAAACGTCAAGAATTGTACATGAGTATCACAAATAAACACGATTTAAAAGAGAGAGGAGCAAACAACATAATCCATTGGATGGGAAGAAGTAATTGTAATAAACTTAAACACATTTCTGCTATCAACTATAGGAACTTCACATAAATACCGTTTAGAAGCAAACACATGGGGGTGCAGTTGGAGATGCATACAGATTGAAATACAGATCCTGCAACCTGGGCATGGGGGAGGCAAAACACCACTAAGAGAACAGCAGATGATGAGGGAAGTGGCTAACAGGACCAGCATCTTGGTTGGTTGGTATGGGCATGCCAGGGCCCATGACAGCTGATGTCGATTGCTACCCCATCCTTTCTTATCTTTCTATACATTTTATACAGGCATCCAGCCAGGCATGTAAATGCTTAAAGATGCTCATTTAATTATGTTTACTTAAAATATATAGTATTCATTTTCTACAGCAAAATTGTGCTTTCCCCCAAATAAATCTGCTGTGTATCAGGGTAGTTTAAGTTAACTACATTTTATTCCTAAAGTCATGATGGTGCTTTAAGTGAGTATAAAGTAGTCGAACATAGCAGGAATGTTGAAGCAGTTGTAAAGCATGGAATGGAGGCCAGAGGTGGCAGGAAAAACCAAAATGTTAGTTCTGTGCATCCCAACTGAAGTGATATATATGACTGTCTAAATCCAGGCCCTTCTAGCACAATTAATTCCAGATTCTAAAGCTACCTAGCTGTACCACCACAGACCCATGTACAGCCACAGGATTGCATGCAAACTGCTCAGCAATTTTATTGTTTTGAAAACAGAAGTCTTGTTCCAAGTCCCCTTTGAACTTTCTGCAAGCTTCTGAAGGGCCCTCAAAAGGAATAGTCACATAGCATATGCTCAGGATCAAAACATCCACTATCTTTTCTTTAATCTGATTTCCTCCCTGAACTTTTACTCTACAAAGCAAATTTTATTTTACAAATGCACATTACAAAACAATGCCTTTACAAGTTATAAGGAATTACAATGCACACTAAAAAGTATCCATTTACCTGAAAATTTTACTGATACCATAGTTTTCATGAAATTAAATGAAATTAATTTAATTTCATGATATTAGCTCTAGTAATAATGGTATTAGCTCTAGTAATATCTTTTCTGGTGATGTCCATTACTTTTATTAGCCATGCTGAAATAATTATGGTCATTTAAACTTTGAAAAAATTCACTGCAGTACTGTTACATATTACCAATTTATCAATATTCATTCTTAATGAAGGGCCCAGAAATTAGAACAGAATAGTCCAGATAAGTTTCTATTTATAAAATGGCCCAATGAAGTGACCTTAGTGAAGTCAATAATTAATTACATTGGCTGTTGAAGGCAAAATGTTGTGCAATTTCAGCCTCTTTATTTTCCTTATAATTTTACATATTTTATTCTATTTCATTTTTCAAGTTATTCCAGATATCAGATTTCTGGAATCAGGTGGACCAAATCTCTGTGTGGGCTCACACATGTAGATATTCAAGTAGTAGATAGAATGCTTTTGTTAGTATAGCCTTAAAATGGTATTTGTTCTTAATGTAACCCAACAAATAGTATGTAAAAATAAGAGGAAAGTATGGATAAAGTAAGACTATGAATATTCACAGCTTTTAAGTACTAATCTAATTAAAGAAAGAAAGAAATTCCCATTGTGGAAAAAAATTCAGGCAGCAGGGTTCCTTTGGATAAATTTATTACATAGTTGGAGAGCAGCCATCCAGAAAGCCTTTCTGCACAACCTTGCATTATGAATTTATACAGAAAGAGTGACATAAAAAAGCTGTGGTTAGCTGACTGCAGAGATTATGATGAAACACAGAAAACAGAATAGTATTTCCTATTACCATAGTACTAAGCTATGAAGATTTCGAGTCATGTACTTAAAGAATAACCAAAAATGTTTTATTTAGAACATTTGTTCTAAAAAATCAGAACCATGGACTACTTGTACTTAAATAATAGCATTTTAAACCTATAGCAAACAAAACGTCTGGCATCATTATCAAAATAGGTACGAATGGCAAACCTCTAGTTCCTATTTAGTTGAATGCTCCACTACAACACTTGTGAAAAATCTCACATGACACTACAAGGTGGAAATGTTTGAATATATGAGTAATTCATAAGGTTATTATAAACCATCTAAGGGACTTTGAATTCAATTTTGTTTGATGTTTATAACTTAATTATACAATGAATAAGCATGCTTAAACACTTTCAATCATATAGATAAATACTGGATAGAATCCAGATAAAGTTAAATATATTTTAAGACTGCTAAAATAATTGGAAATTGTGCCTTACTTATACATCGAAGTCTCAGTTTGAATGGCATGTGTAATACACTTAGGACAGAACTAGATATTAGAAAATGCATGGAGTTGTTTCTATTCCATGTTCCTTGTCTTTATACTTACTGAAAAATACTGATTACACAACTGGTGCATTGCACATGCTGTGACTTAAATAAACCACTGTGGGGTTTTCTAACCCATGGTGAACATGGGAACTGATCCAGTATGTAGAAAAAAGCACCAGATCTCACAGCGTGCAATATCGCTGTTTGCATTTTTTTTTGTTGTTTCTAATGCTTAATAAAAGTAAGCCATGAAAAGGCAGCAGTCACATCACTTTCAAAAAAAGCTATTTAAATTTATATCAGTAACATAGTTTAGTATCACAATTTTATACAGAGGTATCACAAAAACACAATCATAGATGTTTGATACACTGTGGTGGAATTAGGAGGTCAGAGTTTTGAATTAAAAAGAAAGAACCATGCATGCCGTCATTGCTGTGCAGGCTTCAAGTCTAAATCTTTGTTTAAAAAATAATTTAAAATATATCTGTACATTTATAGTATTTGGGCTTATGCAAACAAGTTTGGTGATCAAAGCTTTTTCTAAGGGTATCAGTAAATACAAATAAATATATATGTATTTAAAGTTACCTCAAGTAACTTTTGGTAACTCAAGGTGATCTACCATTATTTCTTTTACATTATGTGTATTATTTTTATTTTTTTGAAAAAGTTATGAAATTCTACAGAACAAATTGGTTAATATTACTAGGATCATCAGTTCCTTTAAGTCTTTCTGTTCACCCAACTCAAATTAATTAAATAGACACAGCTGGAGGACAGCACTATCTGCAACAAGGTATCATCTTTTACAGTTCCCAAATGATTTTAATGAACAGAAATGGACTCTAAACTGAAAAACTAAACCACTTTTATGGCATAAAATACCAGGGATCTTGCACTTACTTATGTGCAAGTTCACAGAAAAGATACTGGCCTGGTACACATGCAGCTGCTTCTTTGTTTGATTAATAATTAATTGTGGCTACATGGCCGCGAGTGAACATTCACCCTCCTGCATGTCAATAAGCCATGGGTTAAATCTTGGTCATTTAACCAAATACTCATTCAGCCCAGTGTGCATACAAACAACATGTGAACTTGCCTTTAAATTATCACAAGCAATGTGGTAAAGTAGTCTCACTAATTTGAAAAACCAGACCTATCATTGCAGAACAGCAAAAAGATAAGAAAAGCCATGCTGGATCAGACCAATGGTTCACCTAGTCCAGCATTCTGTTCATACAATAACTGGTAAACCAGGTGCCCACAGGATCCCTGGATCAGGATTTGAGTATAATGACCTCCTCCTGCCAAAAGCCAACTTGCAACTGGTGTACACAGGCATGCTATCTTTGATACCAAGGGTTGCATATAGCCATTAAAACTAATAGTCACTGATAAGCTTCTCCTCAAGGCTTGTCCAATACCCTTTCAAAGCCGTCCACATTAGTGGCTATCATTATTTCTTGTGGCAGTGAATTCCACAGTTTAACTATGCACTGTGTAAAGAAGTACTTCCTTTTATTTGTTCTGAATATCCCACAAATCAGCTAAATGAGATTATCCTATTTCTCATATTCAAGGAGAGGGAGAAAAATGTCCCCCTATCTCCTGTCCATTCATAATTTTGAACACCTCTATCATGCTTCCCTTTACCTTTTTTCTAGGATAAGCAATCTCAGGTTTTGCAAGTGTTCCTTATGGGAAGAAGCTTCAACGCTTTGATCATTTTTGCTGCCCTGTTCTGCACTTTTTCCAACTCTGTAATATTGGTTTTTGAAGTGTGGCAACCAGAACTGTAGACAATATTCCAAATATAGTTGCACCAAAGATTTGGATGCGGACA